ATCTGGGAAATGAATCAGTTTCTGAAACATCCATAATCTATTAATAATACAATTATAATTATGTGTTCACCAATTGGCTATTTCGGTTTATGGTTAGATGGGCAAGTGGTGCCATGAGTGAAATTATTATGAGATGAGCATATATGGATCTGTGTTATAGCCGTTTATAAATGAGGTAGGTAGCTTTTCTTACTTTCGGAATTATTCATCTGGTTGAGTCCCAGTTTTAGATGAAATATGGCATCGTTAATTAAGTGCCAAAACTATATCATTATTATGAACTATCGAGGACAATTAGTGATTTAGTATATTAATGGAATAAAATTTACCAGTCTTCGCAGCGTGCTTCCTTTTTGCCTAGGAAACTTATTGCTTGAACACAATTCGAATTTTTTTGGAATTATTTCCGTTTGAGGAATACCACAGTGAATCCATGATGATGTATGAAATTTGAATATTTTGGCAAATTTTCAAACATACCCATTGGGTTTTAGCTCAGAATTAGTTCCATTGGAATACTTGTTCGCTCAGGAATTGGTCAAAATCTGTTTTCAATCATTAGCAGATTCAAATATTATATTGGAGTAAAAATAATCATTCAATATCCAAGGGCAAAAATAGATTTCAGCTCGAGGTTGTGAGGCAAGAACTCGAGAGCAAAATCTAGTATGAGTATGATCTCTATTTTTTTGTGTGACAGAAAGAACGACGATTCAATATTGAAAACATATAACATCATAATAACATCAGAAAATCATCGATATGACATTTGAATTTTGAACTGGTAGTCTGAGATAGTTGCATCTACGTTGCAGACATCTTTGTTGCTATGGAGACATTTTTAAGTAATCGAATATCTGACAATTTGAATCTATGATCTGATTTAAAAAATTGCCAACTTGATGGTGATTGTTCAGTAATAGTAGGATGGAAGGGACTTGCAGTTCTTTCTCGGAGACGGTGTCATTGGCATATTTTTTAGAACTGACACAACAGAAGCCAGCAATTAATAGTATACACCTTATATATCCAGGAAACAAGTACTAACTTTTTTCCGTGAGTAAGATATAGTAGATTGTTCAATTAGGATCCAAAGTGACACGATGTTTGACAAGCGAATTTTGCGTGTCTAAACAAAGTCACTTTTGATCCGAACGAAACATGCTATTTTTCTACCGAAAGAATTGACTCCTAACTAAAATAAATAAAGGTGAAGTATATGAATAACCATCAATGTTGATAGATAATTACTATAATATAATACTATAATTACTATAATATGAGTGAGTAGATAGAAACAAAGCCTCAGACTACATTACATTGTTACAGTTTATTCTGACATGCATCTTATTGTCAGACTACAAGCATGAATTCAATACTACCCTACGTGGATGCTGTTCTATGCCGTTCTGAGGATGCGATGCAACAAATAATCCGTGTATAGATAGTGAGCATATTATTATCCTACCTCTAGACCCTCTGTGAACGACGAGTGAGGCAAAAATATTTGTCAGGCAACCCGCAGTGTTTACGGATACCTATCTCTCTCTATCTTGTGTTGGCTAATGGGAAGCGCTCGCATAATTTGAAATATTTTCTCGTTTTTTGCTTCTATTTAAGAGTAAACGTGATTAAATAAAAATATTCATTTAGGAAAAAGAATAATGTTGTAATCAATTATCATTAAAAAATTATTACTGATTTTTTTATTGACTTTAAAATGAAATCTCAATTATACTCTTACAGGATCAGGAATTCAAATGAATACAAAATTGAAATTATATATTTTTATTCAAATGTCACAATATATTGTACAGGGTGAGCGAAGCACAATGTCTCAGAACTATCAGAAGGAAAGTTCTTGAATGGTATTGAGTGCATTTTGAGCATAATTTCCATAGGTTCCTATTCCTCCTTCCTACTTCTTTCATGTTTGAAATTTTTAGGTATCTCCTTTTTACTTTTTGTCTCAGTGTCTTCACTTTTCTCCTCAGTACAATATCCTTCTCTATATGATGAAACAGTTTGAGTTTCTTTATTGAAAAACTTCGAAACTTGGGAGCTGGAAGTGGTAGGCAAGTCAAAGTCAATAACATGGAGAACTTCTTCCTTCGGACCCAAGTTATGAACAAATTACTAACTAGTTTTTTTATTTTAGAGAGGTTCAAACATACTTTTTTCCATTATTAATCAACTAGGTTCCTACGAGTTTTCTTATTTCCCTGGGGAAATCAGCATTTTTTGGTAACAAATGCTGAGGAAATGAAAATATACTGGGTATAGCACCTGCTTTCAAAAACCTAGCAGTACCTGGTATGCCTAAATAATCTGTTGGCAGGAAATGCTCCCCACAAAGCTTGCTGCTTTTAGTTGGAGTCCAATTCTCTCTACGAACTGCCTTTTTCCATAATTCGAGAATGTCTGGTCTTTTGAATGTGAAACTGCAACAAATAATATCACTCAATATCAATATGGAAGTATTTAACTTCGACAAATAATATAGGTATAATTTTTTAACAAATTCTGAGACTGGGAACATTGTATACCTAACTGATGATCATTTTAAGAACTATATTTTTCAAAAATTTGAGAACAATATTCAACTCACCCATGGAATGCCAATTTCCTTTTGTCTTGTTCGTTCTTGCATCCAAAGGCGACACAATAAATTACCATTATTCATCAATATTATTCACAAACCTTCTCAACAATCAGTTCAGTGTTCACAACAACAAATTCAGTCCATTTGATACAACAAAACACGCCAAATGAATAGATATTTCACCTCGTATTTCACATAAACGAAGACAATGAACTTATGTCTTCACTTTCTTGCCTGTGTAGAAGAGAGAAAAAATTCCTAACTACTTTAATTATTAGATGAAATAAAATTTATACACCAATCCACCATTACACAACACACGAGTTGGAAGAGGACAGGTTACCGTAAATCATGCTATCTTTGTTGCAGCTGCCCCGGTAACGGGCCGGGTCGCCTCATCTCCCGTTTTGGCAATTTGCACTGGCCCGTGAGATCGCGGACTTTTTTCGTGAGGTTTTTTGAAGTCCCGTGTTTACGTGAACAAGCCCGAGACCCTGGAAGCCCTCAAGGACAACATCCCAGGTAACAAGCTGACGTCATTTGTACGTCATTATCACGTCAGGCCTGACGTCATTTTCATGTCGTCAAAATGACGTCATCCTAATGACGTCAAAATGACGACATCCTAATGGCGTCAAAATGACGTGATCTTCACGATTATTTATATCACTGAAATCTTCTGCATGTTTCAGTTTATTTTGTGCTATTTCGAAATTTCCTGTAGGTAAAAAAAAACACTGTTGCATTAGTGTTGTATCAAGATTATCAGAAAAGATGGGATTTTTCTTGTATAATTATATTGATGTTCCTTTACCACATCAAATGCAAAATAATATTATAGGTAGGTACTATAAATACCAGTTTCATCAAATGTTCTTTTTATTGGGAACTTATCCCATTCGGATGATGCACTCAAGAGATTTCTCAGAACCCTATGGTATTCCTTCAATGGCGTCCAATTCACATTCTGCTTTTTCGGCATACACCACTTGTCTAAAATAATGACCATGCTGCCATCCTCAAATTCTACTACTTGATATATGAATATTAATAAGTATGACCACCACACCACACCACATAGATAGCCGAATAACATGATAATGATGGCCTTCTATGTATTGTTATTTTGTTGTTATGGTCATCATGGCCGCGCAACGGCGAAGCGAAAGTGAACGGCTTGGCCACAGCCGTCTTCTGAATACGGCTGTGGGTTGGCGCTGGCGGTCGACGTTCGCATGTCTGCGCAAGGTCCGTGCCGACCAATCAAATACAGTTCTCTACGCACTCTCCCGCTCTGATTTGAATTCGCATTCCGGAATAAAAACGTTATATGCTTTTTTTGACGTGACATTCGGTCTTATATTTTTAATAGCTATAGGGAGAATACTTTGCACAGAAGGTATATAATTAACAATTATCTCAGAGACCATCGAAAACACACTTCTCGCACAGATTAGAGGAAAAATTATTATGAAGCATAATATATGATGAGTGACATAATAATATATGTTATATAACATAACTACTAACGTTTTCATATAACATATATGGGAAACTTCTTGATTATGGATTTTCCTTGATGTAGATGACTCAATAAATGATGGTCATAATTAGTCATGAAAATGACCATCAGATAACGTCATAATGACGACATATCAAGGACGTCTATATAACGTCATATTGAGTACGTCAAAATGACGTCATTTTGAGGTCATATGACGTCAATGACCATAAATGACCATATATTGACGTTCAAATGACGTCAGCTTGTTACCTGGGATTCGACACGAGTGCGAGAATGTGTCGCCCGAAGTTCTCGCCGAAGTGATGAAAAATGGCATAGAACGAGCCCATATAACAATCAACTATGGCGGCGCCCATTTGGCTGATATCTTCTCGATTTGAACAATAAAATTCTGAAGGTTCAAATGAACCTAATCGAAAAACAGAATCGAAGCTTTTCATTCCGAATAAAAATGAAAGTCAAACAACATCGGATGACTTATTTTGGCCCACCTTTTATTTCTCTTGTTAGTTGTTTCTATATGAATGAATAATTGATTGAACAAATCAATCGATTTCCTACGCTTGTAGAAAAAATATTGTTCCTGACTCATGCAGAGAGTGTCTTTCCCGCACTCGACTGCTTGTCCGAACTCCCCTTCGCGTCGTTCGTGTCAACGGCAGTCGAGTGCGGGGAATAATCACTTTCCGCACTTGTTAGGAAAATTACTATACTATAATATACTGAACTATAGAGTTAAATCATTTACTCTAAAGCTCAGTGGTCCGCCTCCTGGAGACAGGTATAGTGTTAAATTTCACTCTATTTCTTTTACTGTGTAGGAATTTTCCTCAGTGTACCTGATAACCCAATTGAATGATATGCTCTACTCACACAAACCGGAAAGAGTCCTGCACACGCCCTTGACGATATCCGATGGCCGCAAAGTGGGCTCCTCCACGATCTCCACCACCTCCGCCCCGCGCGGCTCCTCCTCGGCCGCCCTGCCGGGCAGCGGGGGCGGCGGCGGAGGCGGCGACGTTTCGGCCGGCCCCGACGCGACCCTCTTCAGGGCTGGACGGGTGGCACCAGGCAGTGGCTGCGAGTGGCGGGCGGCGAGCTTGGATTTCTCCGGTTCGTCTTCGGGGGTCGATGGTGGTGGGGACGAGATCGGTGCCTGTGGACAAACATTGTACAGGGTGATTGACTTCGAGCATTTCTTCCCGAGTTCCTTCCTTCCTGTGATTGACTATGAGTTTCACGCTTTCAACACTCTATAATATCTCGAAAACCTATCAAGATATTGTAAACTTCTAAACAAAATCTGGAATCAGACGTACTTCTCTCTCGAATGATGCCCTTCAAACATTATAATATCTCCATTTCCATTCCATGTGGAACACATTGCCAAGGGAGGTGTTTCCCAAGGCATATAACCCCCAGCAATTTAAGGGGAACACCAATTCCTACCTTATTTCCCTTGGTTCCCACGATGTTCTCTGAACATTACAGGATATCCCTTTTCGTGGGAACCAGAACATGAAAAAAAAATCCATGCTATATATCATTACACAGAAAACAAAATGTTCGAAACTACAAAATTTTTGTGAATTCAACAAAATCTGAGTGTCACATATCCACGACCAAATATTTTGTCACCGCAACAATTTTTTTTTTGTCAGTTTTCAATTTCGAATTCATTCGATAACTCTTTAATGATTCAAATCAACAGCAGGAATTGGTTGAATGAACAAAAACTAATTTGTTCCTATAATACAATATCTGCTTCAATGAACAGATTCTTTTGATTGAAATGATCATACCACTTCATTCAAGTGACAACATTTTAAGTTAGTTTTTTCAATGAAACAATCTATCCGTTCAACAAAATTGTATTTTGAATTGACAAAATATTTTGTTGAATAATATTTAAAAAAAAATCCAATAACTGAATTTCGAACCTAAGAGAAATTAGAGACAATTTCCTAAGTTGATTAAAGACTATCCGCTTGTATAAGCGTCATTAGAAATTATAGGACAGCTTAATTTAATTATATTAACGGATGTTCTATAGGTAGGTATATGTACACCCCAGTCGAGGCGAGAGTAGGAATGTGGGAAGAAACGCCACCTGATGGCGAAAATGCAAATAGATAGTCATTCAACAAAATATTTGTTTGATATAATGTATCTGTGGGTTCTGTTCAACAAAATAATCTGTTTGAAATAACAACATATTTCTTAATGATGATGTGTTGAATCAACAAAATATAATGTTCCCATAATAAATTCAATTTTGTCGAATAAAAAAAAACGTTCGATTGGTTGCACAATGGAATGATTGTTGAATCAACAAAATATGATGATGTTGTACTTAGTTAAATCTTTGTCAAAATCAACTTAATGTTGTCAAACATACAAGATGCATACGATTGATTGAACAATGAGATGATAGTTGGATCAACAAAATTTGTTTTATGTTGTTGAATGAAATGAAACTTTTGTTCAAGTTAGCAAATATTTCAATCAAATTTTTTCGTCTTTGTGAATATATCGCTCATTTGGAATTAACATATATTTTGTTGATTTCGCGAAATTGTGTCTAATTTCATCAAAAAAATGACCAAAATTATTTTGTTTTTATGACTTGTAGGTACAAATTAATTCTGTTATGTCCTCAACTTTCGATGTATAGAGATACGTTTATTTGTTTTTAATCATCTTATATATTATTATTTGTTTGTTTTTCATTGTTATGTGTATGTTAGCATGACATTTTTTGACGAATCCAATCGGGTTATTGTATTATCCTTTATGGTATTGAAATTATAGAGACGACTTCTTGTTTTCCTCCTCGAAGAGGTATTTTCTTTCATCAGTTTCCAAACATCCTCGAAACTCATCTTCACAATATTGAAGTTTTTGAAAGCGCCAAAGCACTCTACTCAAATCCATATACTCACGTTGGTGATTTCCTGTTTACTGGTTTTCCTCTCGACCCTGTCGTATTGTTGGGATTTGACAATGAATTCATTGGCCTTGGGACTGCCACTCTTCTTTTCCTGGTTTGCTACAGAATGGCTATTATTGATTTTACTATCATTACTAGTGAGGTTAACCACAATGTTGCAACCTGAATTGGAAGAACTGACTGATCCAGACCTGTGGCAAAAATATCAATATAAGTAAAAAGAACACGGTTCCTGTGCGAAGTTTTGCAGAATCTGAACTATTTGATATGTCATATACATATAAATATAGTCAACTTGCAAAAAGTTTGTGTTTTTGGAATGGCAACCCCAAGATGACCCTGCTGGAATTAATCGAGAATAACAACTCAGATATACAAGGTTTTGCAATAGTTGATTACTCTGGTGATTTGATATAGAATTAGATAAGAACATCATGAGGTCGTTAATAATTGGTTAATTCTGGAGAAAGAGTATGTTGAAGGTTGACAATTTTTTGTCAGTTATTTCCTAGGACACTGATGGAATTCTAATTATTTTCAATTTTTCTAATTAACTTTTCAATTTTGTTAAGAAATGAACTCTTACTGAAACGGTTTTCGAAATATTCGACCGAAAATAGGAGATATGCAGAAGATTTCTTTAATTCTTCACAGTTGTAGAAAATTAGAAAAATGTTTTTTTTGTATTGAATAACTATTTCTGTTCAGCTTCAGACAGATAACTAAGAAGTAACCCAGATAACACTTGACGTCTAGAGGACGTTCCATTTTTGTTCCGATCGTCCAGGACCTCATATGGGCGTTTCTAGGTCGTTCATCATTGGACATACTAACATACTAACGTCCAGAAAAAGATGTAACGTCCAATTCACAGACTCTAACATTATTTCAATATCAATGGATATAAGTAGGTATTTATTATTTTTTCAGAAATCCTGAACTGAATATATAGATATAAATTATGTGTAAAAATATATTATGTCAGCTATATTCAGTGTCATTGTATTAAAATATCATGAATTTTTAGTATAGACGATTATAACTGGCTGTTGTTAGGACATGATATTTCGTGCAAGGTTATATAGAGGATATAGGTACCTACAAAGACCCATTTCAACTGCTCATATTTGGGAAACTATTCAAATTATCGTTGTGCGGTTTGGACTTCTATTTTGATATTTTCTTGACTGGTTCACCATTTCACCTGAACTTGCGGTTTTACCGGAAACAAACAAGCCATTATTCTGTTATAGGGGCAAATTTGTTAACATTGCATAATCTCATTAAACCATTCCACAAGCAGTATAGTTGTTTCAGAGAGTTATAACTCTAATAGTTTTCTAGAATACCATAACTTGTGATACATTGTTAGATAGAGAAAAGACCAGTCTTTCTGAATGTGCAAAAATATACAGGGTGATTCAATGAAATAAAACCTGGATTATTGTTTGTCGGTAGAACCGGAAGTTCCAGTAAGAAGATGAACACGTCAAAAAAAACTTGAACAACATCAAAATAGACTAGTCCAAACCGCACAACGATAACTTGAATGGTTTCAGAGATATGAGCATTTGAAATGGGTCAGAAAATAACTGGTCACCCGGTATTCAGCTACCTATGTACTCACTAGTACAAGATGAAGTATGTGTGTGTTTATGGTATTCACAGAAGATGTTATTGAATATTTTTATTATTATTATCAGACTAGTGAAAAAAGACAACAGATAGCTACCAATCAGAAAAAGACGACCTATTCGTCGAACTGAAAGAATCACTGCTGATACGATTGAAGAAGTGGAATTGAAACAACTGCCAATATATGCCAATATATGAATAGTAATATTCAAGAATTCCACTCTTGAGATCGGTGAGAAAATAAACCATAATTAAATAATCTGAATGTCCCCAAAACGGCCAGATCAGGTACTAAATAGGTCCCATTCTGGTCATGAAATGGACGTCCTGAGGACATCCTGACATCCTGACATATTGGACCTTTTCAACAAAATTGAACAATGAATTACAGACATTGAAAAAATCGATATTTCAGCAGTTACGCAGAAAATATGACAGGAGTTACCACAACCCCCTGTCATCTACAACCCATCACTGCGAATGATATACAAACCTGCTATGTGATCCAGAATCCCTGGATCGTGATCGGCCGTTGTTTTTGTTGTTGGCATTGATGTTGTTGTTTTTGTCTGATGCCTTCTTATTGGATTCTTCTCTTACTAAATAAATGTCTTCATAGTCATTTTCATGGTCACCAGACCTCTCCGATATCTCTGAAGATGATAGGTTCTCATCCGATCCTGCTCCACTGCTGCTGGAGTGTACTTCAACTTTCACTGGATACAAAAAAATACAAGTGTTGATATGACATGAAATTTGGTCTGAGTTATCAGAAATTTAATGAGATTAAACGTTTTCAGATTAGGTACGAAATATGAGATTACCGAGATATAGAGTGTCCAAAATCTAGATTTTTCAATTTTATGATTTTTTGTGTCGAAACTATTCATTATCGATCAAAACGGCTCACATGTTCCTATCTCAACTGTTGATTCACTATCTACTGGAATTCAATTGGAAAAAATACAGGGTGCGTCCTGTCGGGACATTCAGGACGTCCATGGGACGTTCGAATTTGGTACCGTGGTCGTCCATTGGACGTCTGTGGGACGCACAAATGTCCTTGAGGAATGTCCCTGGGACGACTATCGAACACCTAAATCCTACAGTTTTTCTCATCAAGCACTTCAGAGGACATCCATAGGACAACGTATCAGCAACGCTGGGGATATCAATTGGATGTCCACAATATGTCCCAGGGACGTACGAATTATTCTTGAATTTGAATTTATCTGGGTCCCTCTAGGACCAGATCTTGCATAAATGATACGCACATCCAGTTGAGTTGATGGTCCGTAGAAGGTCCCAAAAAGTTTCCCAAGGATGTCCAATGGACGTGAAGGACATTGACGAGGAGTACTTATAGCCTAGGAGCAATCATTCGTCGGCGTGGTGTATGTTAACGTCCTCGCAGGGACAACGTATTGAAAGTACCAACTGGGACGTCCATAGGACGTTATTACTAGGACATTGGAAGAGTACAGTACATGCACCAATTGGTACATTCGACGAATATCTCTAAGGGACATTCGAAGGATGTCCCTGAGGGACATTTCGATTGTTATACGATCCTGGAAATATTAAGGGCGTCTGTGCAGAGATATTTGAAGGAATGTACCATGAGGGACATTTCATGGTTGTCTAGAAGGGACATTATATAAGATCTGAAGTCATGCCAGAATATGTACTACTCGGGACATCCGATGGATATCCCTAAAGGAATGTTTAAAATCATATCCCATCGGGGACATGCCAAAGACGTCCTTGACATTCTACAATATGTATCACGTGGGACGTCTGAGGGATGCAATTTCTAGTACATTCGAAATGAAGTACCAGCTGGGACATTCCGTGGACGACCTTGCTCGGACATTGCATGAGATTCACGGGATGGGACGTCGCAAATGGACACTTATTTTTGGTTCGGGACATTCGGACGTGAATTGTACCAAATAGGGACGTCCCTAGGACGTTGTGTGCTATTAGGGATTACAAACGATTACGAAGATCACAAATAGAGAGGAACTCAAAGTCATTACCACACTAGTTCATAAAATGAACGCAAATGGTAGAAAACGAGAAAAAAACAACTACTTTCATGGCAATATGCCATGCAGAACATTGGATTACATCCTCTCGAAATCTATGGAATAATTCGTAATTTCAAATGAAATCGCAAGTGTGTCCTTCCTAAACGCCGAGCTGCGCCTAAGTGGTTAAGGAACGCGTGACTACCAGCAGACCGTTTTCGAGCTGTTGGCTCTCATCAGTACAAGGCTGTCCCAGATAGCTTCTAGTGCGAACCTGTCTCAACGTAAAAGCATCTCAGCATTTATACCACACGAGGCGTTCAACGTCCGTGGAATAAAAACGCGAACGCCGATCGCCACCTGGCAAGGAGAGAAACTATGCAAAACAAGATCCCATCTCAGGTGAAATGCCGTATTTTCAACTAGGAAAGAGCCAAATACTCAAAGTGGAATGCAATGGTCACAAAAAGAGATAAACTCAAAGTCATTACCACACTAAATAACAAGAAAAAAACAACTACTTTCCTGGCTACCCTTACAACACGAGTACATCCTAGGGACTTCCCAGGGACGTCCCTAATTTCATACTCCAATCCAAGGGATGTCTTTCTGGTACGTCCCTGTACCTATGTACCAAGAACAGATATTCCTGGGATGTCCCAAGGATATCCCAGGGACATCCCTTCGACAAACGAAAAAAATGTAGGTCGAGTATAGGGATGGAACTGAGACCTTTAGCTCATCAGGCACGCACCTTACTCCATTGGCTAAAATGCCTTCTAAAGATTCATGTATTGAACAGATTTATGAACAGGGCTGAACGACAGAAACCTGAATGAAGGATTAGGATTCGGGTATATAATTATTATCATTATTTGGTATTTAAAAATGAGGGGCATTATGCATTTACGATTTCTGATTGCGAAAAATGATCATTTCTTGAGAAGTTTTGAGACTATATTCTTCATTTTCATTAGGTACAATTATTTTCCGGAAGAGATACATTTTCGAAAAAATTCGACTCGATATTTTGATAAAATTCAATGACTCTCTGATGTGAATGGATATCAGATATTCCAGGGGCACGAATAGGATAACCTAGGGATGTACCGGGCGGGACATTCCCTAGATGTCCCAATCATGTCCTTGTACCGCGGGACAAAAAAGGGACGTACCTAGGACATCCCTGTGTTGTTAGGGTATATGCCACGCAGAACATTGGATTACATCCTGCCGAAATGTCTATACGAATTATTGCATAGATTTCGGGAGGATCCCAGACAGCACTGGATATTCCTAGAATATTCTCTGAATATGCTAAACAGGAGGGAGTATATTCCGGATATTCATCGATTATTCCTAGAATATAATATATGCCTCTGGAACATCTAAAAGGAATATTCCGAAGTGAATAGTCGGATATGTTCAGGGAATATTCAGGTATGAATTTTCCAGGAATATTCCCAAATGAATATTCTCTCTCGAATATTTATGAAATATTCTCAACTGAATATTCTGTGCGGTATATTCATGAAATATTCTCAACTGAATATTCTGTGGTGTATATTCATGAAATATTCCATGAATATTCCTATGTTTCTCAACACATAAATACCAATCATTATTTTAGAGATGTGAGTATCGAACATCAATTAGATGTAAGGGGATTTTGCAACAAAAAGTCTTCAGGATCCGATTTCGGACAACGCTCTCACAAGAAATTGATAGGTACAACATTATTCAATTCGATTACTGGCCTAGTGGTCAAGGCGTTGCTCTGATAGTCTTGAGTTCACGAGTTCGATCCGTACTTGGGTCACTTTTTTTTATTTTAGAATATGTTTATTGGAATATTCCAAGAACATTCAACATAGAGTGTTCTTTTCGATATATTCTATGAATATCTGACGAATTTCCATTCGCATATTTAGAGAATATTCCACAGATATTCCGGAATATTCAAGATTATTTCTAAAATATTCCAATATTCCAAAAGGAATATGATAGGGAGATTCATGGAATATCTGGTGGTCTGGGATGTAATCCAATGTTCTACGACGTGGCAAATAGCCAGGAAAGTAGTTGTTTTTCTCTCGTTATCGACTATTTTCGTTCATTTTATGAACTAGTGTGGTAATGACTTTGAGTTTCTCTCTATTTGTGATCTTCGTAATCGTTTGTAATAACCCAATCAAACCCGGTATCGTTGGAATCGTTATAATAATCCCTAACAGATTATGGAATGAAATATACTGTGTTTGATTTGATAATCGAAAGTTGATGTCATTTCTAGGAAAACCGGAAGACGAAAAATAATTCCTAAAATGTGGAAAGTGCCTTCTAGTGTCCATATTCGATGTTTCAAATTTCAGAAATATAGTTGGAAAAACAAGGAAAGTCTGTGTCACCCGGTATATAGGTATGTATAATATTGTTGGATCGTTTTTGTCCATATGCTATTAATTACTCTTGTATGTACAACAATTATTGTTTTTTGTAACAATATCTGGTTATGCATGATCTGGCGTGTAATCAATTTCACAATTTCACGGAAGACCAGTAGAGTCGGCCTTGCATTGTTTTCAGTTTCATTCCATCATTATATTTTGGCTAATATCATGCACCCACTAACGAACTTTCTAGAGTCGATATCCGTATACCAGTAGATTCAAATTCTGAATTCAATTTATTAAATGGAAATTGTGCATACAGTGTGTCCCACTTACCATGCTCACCATGGGTATCTTTTTAACGGTGAGAGATACGAGGTCGGTTAAATGACACCAAATGTGGAGTTTGTCAGGGCCAACTATAATGTGAAAAAACATTTTGATAAAATCTATTCGTTTTTGTTTTATACGCAAAAAACAGATTTTGATCATTTCCATGTATCCTCCGTAACTTCTTTATTCATGAAAATATTCAAATAGGAATTTCACATTCTTATGGCAGTTTTTCGAAGTGATTCCGAAAATAATATGAAATTTATACCAACTCTTCTAGAATTTGAGATATCAGCACCAACTTTAGTTTTTCAAATGTAGGTCATAGCTCAGTATGACTTAGTTACAAATAACTTTTTTTTCTCTTCCAGATGATATGTGGCAGTAATAGTTTTGTGTTGATAACAACGGAGTTATCGTCATTTATACAAGAACAAAAAATTATTTGGAAGCCGCCATCTTGAATTTATAAATTTTAACAAAAAAAAACATGATCTCCGACCACAAAAACCTCCACTTACCAATTTTGAATGGAATCGGACCAAATCTTGTCCGCCATTTTGGAGCAGCCATCTTTTTCAAGTTGAGATGTAAACATGGGAGCCGTTTCGACCAATAATGAATAGTTTCGAGACAAAAAAATCCTAAACTTGAAGAATCTCGATTTTGAACACCCTATATCTCTGTAATCATTCCCGCTAGACCCCAAGTGTGATGCATTGATGAAATCAGCTCTTCAGGAAGAAACTTAAAGTACAATGAAATACAGGGTGTTCCATTTGAAAAAATCAAGTAGTACTTTGTAGATCATTTGTTTCGAGCACCCTGTATTTTCTGATGCAACGGGAAAAAGGAATCTGAAAAATCATTTTAGATTATCCTTCAAATTTTCAAATCGGTTCAAAAATAAGTGAGCTAGAGGGGGGGACATTTATGGTGAATCACCCTGTACGTGCATCGTTT